CGAGGTTCGAATCCCGTGAACGGGCTGGCTGCATGGGCGTTTTCGTGGTTTTCCCCATGTGTAACGTGTATACGAGCCAGTTTCCCTTAAGAAATGTCCTCCACGGAGGCATCCCTCGTCTTAGGCAGATAGCCCTCGAGGCTTGCCATAATCACACACACACAACAAGCGATAAAATTTAGTGGCAACATTTTTATCCGCCGTTTACAGTTTTCAATGAAAAATGCCAAACGAATTAAAGTCCTCAGGGCAATGCCCTTGACTAAAATAAAGTAGCAACAAAAAAGTAAATTTTCGTGCTTCTTTTCTTAATAGTATTTCGTTTTATTTATTTACTGCGTTTTTTTTTAAAATTTTACTTTAGAAAAGTGGCGTGTTATATTTCGGACATTCCTTTGTTAGGCTGTAGGTTTGGTTATTTTAATAATTTATATAGCAAAATACAGAAATTTTAACACACCTTTGCCTTCTGCTTGTAAGTTATTTGCGTTGAACAATGTATTACAATTATGTAAAAATCAAACTCATTTAATTTTTTCTAATAAAAATCGCATTGAAATCAATTACCATAAGATTTGATATTTAAATGAATTGAACAGAACTCATCAAACAGTATAACGGCGAATATTGTTCCAAATGAATAAATAATTCGCCATTATTTTTTTACTACAAATTAGATTATGCTTCAATAAACCCGTTCAAAATACGCTTATTATAAATTACGTTGATGGCTAATTTTTACTTGAATTATTGCTTAATTATTATTCTTTACATGTAATTATATAACTCATATTAATGCAGTATTAAATTACAGCAGTACTTAATGCGCTATTCGTTTTGCTCGAATAATTAAAACTTATAACTTGTCGGTTTTAATTAGTATCTATATATCCATAAGTAATTTTGTTTAAGTATTTCCTAATGCTATTTTTTAATTGAATTCACGAGCATTTCGAATATTTTCTGAACAATCAATTTAAAAACTAAGGATATTTTTGAAAATGTTATCTGTTTAAAGACCGTATTGAAAACATTACATGCTACTTTTTTATTTCGTAAAATGTCCACGTTTTGTTTGTTGTTTATAAACCACGACATTTTCAAGCATTTTCTTGGCGATTAAACATAGCGGTCTAAAACAAAAAGCAACCCTCTTTGCCTCCTTGAGAACTGTCATTTAGAGATCTCCGGGTTTCGCAGAAATAGGGGGGCAGAACATCTGCAACGGCCGCTTTAAGGCGGTCATAACGCTTTCGAGGTCTTCACCACTGACCGCCTAGAACCTTCAGTAACGCTTTCGAGGTAGGCCATCTTGACCGCCTAAACCCGGTCATAACGCTCAGAGGGTTAAAAAAACAATAAGTTTGTTAACTTTATTTTTCCACCATTTGTATATTAATACATGTCAAATTAGAAATAAGCAAAATTATTTTCTTAATTTACTATGCAGCAGAAACCCATCTACATCTTCCCACATCTCCAAATTACTCCTGTTTAAATAAAAAGAGACTGTGTGGAAAGACTCTGTGGAACACAATTGGACTATTTTGTATAAAAGTTTATAATATATGGTACTATAAACATATTTTCAGTTCATTTTGGTGTAAATGATCATAAAAGTTATGCATTAGGCATATTATAAATTACCCGAATCAGAGTATTATGGACATGCACTTGCTAAGATATGCAGAAAATAAATGCCTTGACAATGTGGCACATGTAGTACATAAACAGATAAAAAATGGAAAAATATGCTTCAAGTAACAATGCGTTCCTCCCCCCCAAAAAAGCCTTTTCTCAATAATTACCATAACAAATTTACAAAAGTAATACCGTCAAAAGTCGTTAATTCGGACCTCAAAGCTACAAACTTTTTGCGCGCGCGTAAGACCTTTACGGCTGCGAATATGCAGATAGCGTTGTTCCTTAATCTTCGAGTTGGATCCGGCTTATTATTTTTTGCAGACTATTAGAGCAATTTTATAAACGTAAGCTTGAACTTTCGATTATGTCAAATAGAATTTCCGATATATATTTACTAATATGTAGAGGATCTACAAAGCGAGGGGGAAGCCGCAGTGCGCAATGAATTGGAAGTTGATCTGTCAGCACTATCCTTATCTTCAGGGCAGATGTTTTTATTTATTTGGTTATAATTCCTTACTAAAGCAGTATTTCATCTCGAATACTCCGTCTTTGATATGATTTAAATCAAATTCCTCGTCTACATTTGCTTCCAATAGTGAGAAGTGAGATAGGTTATTAAAAAAAAAAACTTTCGGTTGACAAATTAGTCGGTATTCTCGACACAGCAATTATAGGACTTGAACAGCGAACTTGTAACTGACAAAATTATGTTTTTAATAGAATTAAAGAAAAGTATTATCACATAAACAAGCACTTAAACACCTTACACGAAAGAAATGTTTAATAAAGTAAACAATAAATATTAACGTTTTTTTGTAAATTTTGATACCCTTTAGATCATAGTGTTCTTTATTTCATAAATTATGGTTTTCATATTTTTAATTTTTTATAATTTCTGCATGCCATCTTACTAGATTTAAACTGATGATCTATAATCCGGAAAAATCGAAAATCCAGAATCGCCGAAGTCCCGATGAGTCAGGATTAAAGACTTATGACTGTAGTAGTTTTGTTTACAAAAACAGAAGAACAAAAGTAGTAGAGACAAAAAGTAATATGGATATGAAAAACTGAGATAGTCCCAAATAAGTTTTTCAGATGATTTTGGTGGAAATAAAATCAATCCAAAACAATGCCTATTTCACTTAAATGCAGCTAAAGAAAGTAACCTATTAAAAAAAAATGTAGGTACTTCAGCTTTAATTATTCTACGCAACAAATTTGGCTTTTCTAAGATACAAATTATTACACAGGTTTCTTGAAAAAAGCAACGTAATTATGCAGCATCATAAGTAACATACCCACTGTTTTTTCTTAGTTTCTTCAATGCATCGAATTTTTTCCCTTTCTAGTCTTCTACATGCAAGTTCCACAGCTTGTTTCTTGTCTGCTTCAAGGTTAGCTCGCATTTCCATAACAATCAGATCTGTTAAGCATTCAAAATATGTTATAAAAACTATAACACAAATAACTTTTTAAAATACACATGCATCCCCTCCCAAAAAATGTGTTATAAAGAATGTAAATATAACTGTCATACATTCACTGTCTTTCTAAACATTTTCTGACAATTGTAAATGTTTGATCATATATATATATATAAAAAAAAAAAAACTTCATCATGATATAAAACATACATACACAGAGAGTATATAAGGATAAAAAGCCATTTAAAATTGGTTGAATTCATTTATTACGGGAACATTAGCATTATATTAATACAAACCATTTTATATCAGTATGATGTATATCGGCTTTTGGCAATAATGCACGAGAATATCTAATTTAGCATGAACTGATTCTAATATTAAATATTGTCATATATTATTTGCTGCTAGATATTCTGTAAGCAGGGTTTGTACACATTTTTCCATACAGAAATTAAGTACTTTTAAGGACCATCAATGAAAAAAATAAAGGACCTATGAGCAAAAGGAAACTGAATAAATTCAATTTAAAATATTATCTATGCCTGAATTTCACTTATGTTATACCATCCTAAAAATAAAATCGACCTAAGTAGCATGCATTATTACTAACATGAATTAATATAATTATTATTAAGTTTGAGAATCAAATTAACTTTAGAGAGAGACCTGCTGATTTGAACAAACCTGAAAGGCCTGATGTAGCCACCGTTGCCAAGTGTTGAAAGTCAGTCAGGCTTTTTTTGATGCAGTTAGTGACATAGCTTCATGTAGAGTTCCAGCGATTGAAACCCAGTTAATATACTTTAAGTTTCCAATAAGCCATTAAAGCACCAGAGGTGATAAGTTGTTTTGTATTATTTTAAGTCTGACTAGATGCAAGAGAAGTTTTACTTAATTTTACATTTTGTAGTTTATCTTGTGACCACTTGAGTGTTTAGGTGAAGGCTTTTAAGTTAACAGGTTTTTATAAATATTAAATAAGTAGTTTCATAACCTTAGTAATTAGTTTACATGCACTATTAAATTTTATTTTTTAACAATATTTGTTAAAAAGCCTGTTAATCAAATCCAATAAAATTTCACATTACATGCAATTATGACATGGTCTTAGATAATTAACTTAAAAGCTACAAAACATTTATGTTTTGTAACAACAACAGTCAACAAAATAGTTATCCGTCATTTTAATTTGAAGCCTTCCAGACATTTTGGCTAGTTTATATTGATTTACTTCTCTTTAAGCTTCTTTTCTAACAATTAGAGACTTTGTTTCAATATGCAAACCAATGCTCTTGCTAGCTTCTGCATGCTTTATTTCCTAACTTGTCAACCTCTCCACAATGTACCTATGAGAGTTTACTTGATGTGGTAAAAGTTAAATAGTCCAAAACTCCCGATAAATGTGACGCATATTATCGCTATGTCTGACAGTAACTACAATATCAGACAAAGGTTTAAATAAGCCTCTTATTTAAAAAGAACTTAAAAGATAAAGGTATGTTCTGATGCTAACAAAATCAATTACAGCTCACGGTGACATAATTAAACAAGAACAGTCAAATTCAAACTAAAAATGTGGACTAGTGGTCAAAGATTATACAATTTAATTTAAATCTAATCTGGTGCAGTAACTCTATCATATAGGAAATAGAATGAGAAATTAATAGTAAGGGTGAATCATAAATAATGGGTAATTTACATAGTATAACTGCACATATCTTTGAAGAATATTTTTCTTTATGCTTCATTTTTTCTTCAACATGTTTCCTTTTCATTTTAGAATTTTGATTTAAGTAAGGATTTGTTATTCTAAAAAACACTAAATCATTTAGAATGTACAAAAAAGCGGCTAGTTTTATTTCTTTAGTATATGATATTCGAAGAAATATGAAATATATATGGTTAAAGGCCAGTTTACAGAGCTGATGTGGCAGAATTTTTTTGAATTGAATGAACGCCGAACAATCAAAATCTAGAAATGGCAAAAACTTTTAGAATTTAAGCAACATTGGAAGCAAATTGCGGATCCACAGAGATTGCATCATGTGGGAAAATGCCTATGTCTAACCTACGTGACGATCATTAAGAAAAAGATGAACTTTTAAAATTGTACATTTCAATTTCTTATAATAAAATTCCTTTTTTACCAATGCCTGCCCATGTGATAAATTAGATGCAACCTTTGAATATTTTTTCCATGCTAAGATCTGCCTTCAGAAGTAAAACATTCAAATATTATTTTTCATTTCTTCATGTTCCTCTTTGTCAGATTTTCCTTTCTAAAAATTAAAAATCATCATAACTGTGATACCATGGAAATATTTTTCATTTTCACACCATTACTTATTCTTTAGCTTGGCAAAGTTTAAAATTAGTTTTATTAAAAACGATGCATATTCTGAGAATTCAATACTCTTAGCGTTTACTCTAAAGCTCTACTCCGAAAAAATTAAAAAAAAAAAAAAAAAAAAAAAAAAAAAAAAAAAAAAAAAAAAAAACATTTTTAATATTTTTACATAGTAACTTTGCTTTGCTAAGGCTGTTTCGTAAATTGTGCTTATGCATTATACCTTGTTTTTTTTCCAGATTCAAAATACTGTAATATCAGTTGCCAAAATGAAAACTTTATAATATGACAGCAAAATAAAATGTTTTATGTTAATGCTATTAATAGTATTCAATATTGCATATATTAATTAAATGATAATGTGATGCTTTATAGCATTATACCTGTTTTGTTATAGATTAAAAATACTGGATAATAAGTTGCCAAAATGAACTTTATAATATGACAGCAGAAAATAAAAATGTTTTATTTATGCTTATTTAATATTTTTCAATATATTACATATTTAATAAATTTATCAATGTTATATGTTTTAACAAAAATGTCGAAAATTCTCAGATTCTCGAATAAATTTTTCTATGAACCGATTTTAAAATCACCAAAATTTGATAAGTCGCAAAATTTAGAACGTTTAATAAAGATTCCCTTGCTGTGTCGAGAAAAGAGTGACAGTGCGCTTTTACTCTGTATCAGATAAAAGAATGTCTGGAACAAAAGAAAACAGAAAAATCAAGATTAGAATGAGATATTTCACTTAGCCGCCATCAGTCGCGAAGAAAAGATGAATTAATGAAAATAGACTACCGGGTGAAAAAAATTTGGATCGTAAGTAGTAGTATTAACCACAAAGGCGAAAAGTGTTTAAGGGCTTTATTACAATTGTGAATTCTTATCTTAGTTCACTCCTTGCTCACAAACCTCGAGTATCCCATCACTTATATTAAAATAGAAACAAGTTTTAACCGCATAAACCATTCAAAAGATCCATATCATCAGTGCTTGCAAAAAAATTCCTTCGAATGCTAATTTAACCTCCAAAATGGCAGTCGTCAAACAGACCGAATTTTTAGCTGATTTCGTTTAGGCCCTTTTTGCTGTTTTGGGAAATTAAGACTTTAAGGACCAAATCGATTCCCCCCCTCTCCGGCCTTTTAACTGGTTCTAGCCACTTTTAGTTCCCCCCCGCCCTAACCACCTATCCCCTTTTCAACAATTTTAAGGAAAAATAAGCACCTGTCTAATTAATACACCAACGCATAACCTTAAAGAAAAATCAACTTGAATTTTAATATGACATGCATATTTTTATAAGAGAATGAGCATTACTCAACCATGGAAACAATTACTTTTTTTTTTTAAATTTTAATGCATTCAATTACATAATTAGTTTACCAGAACCAAGAGAGAGAGATAGAATAAAAACTATGCCGAAACTAAACTATATTACCGATTTTAATGCCCATTTCAGTCAAATATCCTACCTTAAATAATAAGTTAATTTGTATTCGTTTGAACCTAATATAATACTTTTTTTTTCCACTTATTTAAATCATTTACCTTAAATCAAATGCTGAACATTTTCTAAATTTTCATTGCATAACAATTTTCCCTTAAACATATATTTCCAAGTAAGTAAAAATTAAAAGAGGCAATTTCTGAAACAGGAGACGTAATTTTCTGCAGTCATTCTAAAGTAAAACTAAAACCCGCATAATTGCCGAATATTCCGGCTTTAACTGGAAAAGAGGAGTGGGGAGATTGTAACCGTTCTCTAAGTTTCTCGCTAAATAAAATGTTTGACATTTCGATATGTGCATCATATAAAAAATAGACCAACGGATCTGAGAAATAATTCGGCAGTAAAACTCTTTTAAGTGTTCATTAACAAATCTCAGAGGAACATCAAATTAATTAATTGCTGCAAAATACGCAAACATTATTGTGCAATCCGTGCGGCGTAATTCTTCCACATGTGATATATATGCATCGATCAACAGCTGCCGGTTATTCGAAGAATAAAGAACTAAATAAAGAAAGAAGAGACTTAACTAATCTGGGGCGTTTCTGATTCTAATTTTCAACAGACGCATTAATTCCGGAATAGAAAAATCTTCGCTAGGTTTGGATAAACCGCAAAACGTTTAGTCCTATTCAATCCAGATTGGACAGTGACAAACCACACACACACACACACAAAAAAAAAAAAAAAAAAAGTCCACTGCTTCAATATTAGAGATTTTGCGGAGAAAGAGGAGAACCTCCCAACCTCCGTACTATATAATGTATTGGGGGGGGGGGGAAAGAAAATTATTCTGACTATTCGATTACTTTCCTTTTATTTAAGCCATTCCGAATATTATTCCTTAGAAAGCTAATCTGTGTAAAAACACACCCATTTTTGAAAGTTTATCTATACTTCATCAGTTACTGCAACTATATTATTATAAATATTCATGCATAGACTCATAATATAAGCATAACGATCATAATAAACACGAATATGAACTGACCACGTGGAACGAGAATGCAAATTATTAAAATCTTGATAGAAATTCAAACGTGTGGTAGTATTTGGGTGGGAAGAAAAGAATACTGAATGTACTGGAATTTTCTACCGTTTTCTACTAATTCTTTGACCAATAGAACGACGTGCACCATAGGTTATGCTAATGCAGATAAAGGGGGGTGAAAGCAATTTCCGGGAGTATGATTCACCACCTAACATTGCATATAAGAAAGAAAAGTTGTTTATTTAGTTTCGGCTTTGGTACGGGGAAAAAATGCACGTTCATTAAAAAAAAAAGGATAAAAAAAAGCACTAAAAGCAAAAAATAAGCACTAAAAACAAAAAAATAAGGGCTTTAAAGAAAAAGTAAGCACCTATAAGGGCCTTTATATTTTATTTTCAAATATAAGGACTTGTAAGGACCGCTACGAACCCTGTTTAAGGACTCTTCAGGACCGTAGGAACCTTGGTAAGTATTCATTTACAATCCAAGATGACAACAACTGGCATCCTCCTACTATAACGAACCCTGTTTAAGGACTCTTAAGGACCGTACAAACCCTGGTAAGTATTCATTTACAATTCAAGATGACAATAACCAGCATCCTCCTACTATGCTTCATATATATCAGATTAGGGAATGATTTGCAGATCTGGCAGACGAAAAGAGGGTTGTGACATTACACAAGTATTATTATTGACAAACATTATATTACTGAAAGACGCCCTTAAAACAAAACACAGAAAGTGAAATTACAAAATCTCTATCATCATCAATTATATATTAGATTTTGGAGTGTTTACAATTTAAATATGCCAGAACTTTGAGGTATTTGATTATTAGCACAATAACTTTTGCACAGATTGGCAATCTTTACAGAAGAAAAAGAATGATGATTTATAATTGCAAAAAATTATTTATTATATAAACGTTTTCTGTTTTAATTAGGTACTTATCCTGAAAATCAAACTATAAACCTTTTATTATTTGCTTTCTGCTTCTTTTGTGCAGGTGGAAATTTTGTAGCAACCACATTGTATACTCAAAGCAATTGGTCCATTTAGCAATTTTTTTTCCAAATATTTTTCACAATTCCTTTCATTGTAGATAAATCCCACAGAGCATATTTTAAAATTGAATTTAACATAAAAAAATATCACTAGCTGTCTATAAAATCATCACAAGTTGAAAAGCAACAAAAATAAACCATACAAAAGTGAAGACAATGCTTAATAAAATTGTAAGATTCTTATGACATGGTTGCCAGATTTCAGCACATTCTAAAAAATTAGTTTTACCAAGACATTTGTCAGTACCCAATATGATAATTGACGAAATTCTTCACTAACATGAAGTATCCACAATGTTTTGTATTTTTAAACATTAAATGTGTTCTCTCACATTACAGCAGTAGGAGTTGAAAATACTTTTCCATTGCAGACGGTTAATCAGATCAACAGCTATTACTTAGAATAAACTTTGAACTATTACAATAGCTACATTGTGATATGAACTGATATTTTTTGAACCAAAATGCTAACTGTTACTATCAGGTGGATTGACTGTATAACAAGAAACATCTAATTATAATCAGAGAATGAATTTACGATATTAAATGCAGAATAAATAAACATATATGCTAATAAAACTGTATCTGTGAGTGTTATAAAAATTCTCATACTCATATTATGCCTGAGTTCATTTTTTTCTTGAACATGTTTCCAATGTTGAATTTGAAATGCAGTGAAAAGACAATTCAATTTTTTCTTCAACTTTATAACCTCTTCTTGTAAACTTTGGGTATCAGCCTCCTATAAAATTTATAAGTCAAATATATAAAACTGAACATATTACATAAATAATCAGTAAAATAATCTACACAAATTTCACATCTAGAATCATAACACAATTTAATTGTACAGCATATAGATATCCAGCATATTTTACAGCATACAGATTACAGCATATGATCAGCGCATAGATATCCTCAACAAATAATCATATTGTAAACACATTAAGGAATATAACAAATTTTGTTCAGAAACTAAACATAATAATCAACAAGACTGAAAATCTTCCCATAAGACAACCAGGCCTTGACATTAAGTGAAAACATTATACATCCAAGTGGTTGCAAGTTTTTATATAAATTGGCAACCACATTACAAAAGCAGTTCTTGACACATGCTAAGATGTCAACTAGCATGATGCAGAATCTTTTATACATTCAGATGAGCTAAGACTATAAAAACAATCATATCAAATAGCTTTAACATAACATAGTTTTAATATTTCTACCTAATAAATTATTTTCTCAATGTTTGTGGCTTCATATATTTTGGCATTTATTGATTTGACAATTGTAGAAAACATACATCTTGTTTTTTACAAGGAGTAAAAGTCAATCTTTACAACTGAAAGATTTTTGAATTTCTGTAGCAAGAGGATTAATAGTACTGTAAAAATGTGGACAAAAAGTTAAAGACATCAACACGTGCCAGAAAATACAGATGCTTTGTTCTAACTGAGATTCACTAACAAGAAGCAGCATTTATGCACTACAAAAGCAGAACCCCCATCGCACAAGATTTCAGTGCACAGTTTTCAATGTAGGACTCTGCCTGAATAATAATAATAATAGTTTTCTACAATATATCAACAAAAACAAATCAAGATGGATAGCCCTACTGGTATTGTAGTGTAATCACCATACTCTGTATTAAAAACAAAAATAATTGTTGTTTAATAAAACCTTTCTACTGGCCGCTTTTTTGGGGAGCCAAAGGGTGAATTAACTCAAATATATTAGATTGTATTGGCACTTGATTTCGATAACCTGAATGTATCATTTCAAAGTTCTCTGTTACAGTTTTACCAGCTTTAATACTCCTCATTATTTAATCTTTAAATTAATATTAACAATGTCAATAAAAAATCAAATAAAAAGTTCTATTCAAATGTCTTCATATATGCAGTAGATAGTCTGTAGAAGTTGAGAAGTGCTAATAATCATCACCACTAGTTAGCATTTGTATCTTTTGCTGAAAAAATTATAGCTACAACATATATTTCTCTTGATGAGATGCACCCAATTTAAATTCAACTCAAATTGATAAAATTTCACTGATTTAATAATGGAAAATTAAACTGCTGATTTTTTTAAAACCACCCAGTCTATATATACCAAATATTAACACTTTCTGTACAGATCTTGCAGTTGTCTGCAATTTTCTGTACAACATGGGTGCTCAAAGTTTTTTTTTTTTTTTTTTTGTCATGCAAGAATGAAAATTAACACACTCCCTTCCCATATAAGGGTAGTTAAAAACATAATTTATAAAGGTTTTATTATAGAAATATGCTGTTTTCACACATAACAAACAAAAACAAATAAATTAATGAGATGGATGAGTCTGCATATTTTTGACAAGATTTTCAATTCATGGTTGATGACACACTGCATGAGTGATTGATACTGACTGAACTGAGGCCCAACTAAGACTCAAGTGCAGTATGGTGGAGTGATGCGAGTAGTGCAGCTGGCAGAGTACCACTCGCTCCATCTCCTTGCTGTGTCTTCCTAGGAGGACCCACTCCCACTTTGAAAATCAATGCTTTACAATATTCTAAACTTAAAAACAAATACAGTGTCTCACAAAAGTGATAAGACACTTGTGCTTTACAAAAAGAAACTGTAATAAAATAAGTTAAAAAAACACATAAAAATTTTTTGTGGGTGTGTTTCACACTTAAATTTAGTAACAATTATTACATAACATACATTTTCTCAAAATATTAAAATAGTAATTTAATAAAAATACAATTGTTTGGAAAGGAGCAAAAAATGGCTCACATAAGTGATGGGACACCATTAGATACTACTACGTACTACAATAAAATATTTTTTGGGGTTTTTTTTTACTCAAAGCAATGGCAATAATTTATAAAATCGTCTTGCAGTCTTTCTCTCCAGTTTATTTTGGATTTTTGTGTTTTTTAGCTCTGGCAGCCATGAATGCTAAACGAAAAGAAACTTTGCCTGAAATTCGAAATTATTATTAATTTGCATATTGAATGTGGAAAATCTTGAGAACTGCTGAAACGTTAACATAGTCAATCAACAGTTTTCAATATCATTAAACGATATAAAAAATCAATGTTTCAGGATAAAAGAAGACCTGGCCGACCATCAAGCTATCCAATGGAATAAGCGAATATCGTTCATATAATAATAATAATAATAATAAAAATCCAAAATGAGTGTTCCTAAAGTTGCTGCTGATTTACAAGCATTATATGGAGTAATTGTTATCTGAGACTATTAGAAAGTATTCGATCTGCTGGATATCACGGTAGAGCAGCCAGGGAAAAATTCTCCTAAGTGAAAGAATAGAAAACTCAGACTAGCTTTCTCAAATCCAACATAAATAACAACTTGATGACTGCATGAAGTTATTTCCTGATGAAGTAAATTTAATATTTGTTCTGACGGTAATCTTGGTGAGAAACCCAGGAAAGAATTTCGAAACAGAACTTGTGCCAACAGTAAACATGGTGGAGGAGAGTTACAGTATGGGGGGTGTATGTCATCCGATGGATTTGATAATCTTTGTTTATTGACAGTATAATGGATCAGTACAAGTATACTTGACATTTTAAATCAAAAATTTGAAATCTTCAGCACGAAAATTGATCCTCATAACGATTTTTAAATTCTACCAGGACAAGACCCCAAGCACACTGCTTTGAACGTTAGACTCTGGCTGCTGTATAACTGTCCTGAAATACTAAAACCACCACAATCTCCCGACTTAATCCCATAGAGAATATTTGGCAAGATTGGAATCAGATTCGAACACACCATTTCTTCAAAAAACAATAAATCATTGCTTCAAAAAGATGATGTCAAATTACTCAGAAATCACAAAAATTAGTCGAATCCATTCCAGAAGATTAAATCACTTTTAAAGTAAAAGGAATCCAACAAAATATTAAAACATTTTAAGAAGTAAAATTTTTGAATAAATATTGATGGAAAGTAAGTGTCCCATCACTTATGTGAGCCATTTTTGCTCCGTTCTAAACACTGCATTTTTATTAATTAATATTTTAAATTTTGAGAAAATGTATGTTATGTAATATATACTAAATTTAAGTATGAAACACACCCACGAAAATGTTTACATGTTTTTTTAATTTATTTTACTACAGTTTCCTTTCGTAAAGCACAAGTGTCCCATCACTTTTGTGAGACACTGTATAATGTCTACTAATAAATAAACATACAATTCCTATTTCAAAATCAAGGATTGTTTAAAAACCTCAACAGACTCAGCAAATATGTAAAGAATGTTAAGAAATTTTTAAACACCATGCTTTAAGTAATTACAGATGAATGATACAAATTATACTTACAGAATTCTGACTTGCTTCTTGACTAAAATTATTTTGTTCAATAATCTCCCCATTTAGAAAAGCATCTTCTGTAGAAGAGAAGAGGAGAAAAAAATGTAAGAAAAGAAAATATCACTATCATTGGCCAATATCTGTGAAATATTTTCTTGTTTTCTGTCAAGAAAATTTTAGCTCTTTTTTTTTTTTTTTTTAACCAATTTTAGACACAATTTTTCTTTGATTTCAAGATGCAATTCTTTACTTCAGATCTACCAATATGTATAATATTCATACTTCCTTCTGAACCAATTCCAAAATCTGGTTAAAGCTGCTGATAATCTGTGATTTAATGAATAGCTTGAATCTTTCAAACTAATTTTTATCTTCATTATTCTATAATCTTTCATTTTCGTAGATGTTAAGAGTCTTAGTAATAAACTTTTTTTTTTTTTTTTTTAAACTGAAAAATCTCCCGAGTTTGAAATTCCTGAAAAGTAACTATAAATTTAAGAGGTCTCATGTTTATAGGGGCACTGTTTACACAGAAAAAAGCGCATCTTAAAATAAAAAAATTAAACATAATGAAACTGACACAAAGAAATAATATGTCATTTTAACATCTCACAATTAAAATTACTTCAAATATTTCAGCCACTAAGTAAAATACCAGTTCAGTTTTCCGAAGACTAGAAAGGAGTAAAATGAAAAAAGGCATTTATATAATTTTTTTAATACATGAAAATAACTGTGAATATTTTATCTGTGTGAAAAGTTTAAGCCCCGACAGAACAGGAAAATGCTTATATCTACACAATATTTTCTGTTTACTTTTTTAAATTAGCTGCTGCCAGTCCTATACACGAACTCAGCTTAAGGTAAATGATCCCAGAAACCTTAATATTTTGTTATGGTTATTAAGATTAGCTATTTGAATGAATGAATACATCATCTGGTTTCTATCTACAAACACCTATTGGAAACCCCAGATTTGCAGTGGATTGAACAAAAAAAGTGCACAGAATATTATAGCCAGATAGGAATATTTTTTTATGAAGCATGCTATTTATAGATGGCTTACTTGTCTTCCAAATTATGAAGCATAATTTTGATCAGTGGAATTTAAAAAAAAATACGAGTTATTTAACTCATAATGATGCGCCCAATTCCCGCCACTTAATAAAAAATTGTCTGTTTAACCGTCACAAGAGCGTAATTTTATATTTAAAACTGAATCATCAGCAGGATGATAGAAAGGCTAGCAACTGTTAACTGGTTTGTTGACATGCACAGTCAAGAGATTGGATGGACTCATTTGGTAACTAGTCCCAGGAGAAAAAAAAAAAAAAAAAAAAAAAAAAAGAAAATCCAAGATGTTTTAAAAATCATTGAGCAATTGTCAGTCATTGACTTAAATAATAAAAGTTTAAAAGACTAAAAAATTTCATAGGTTTCTCATCAAAAGAGGATAAAAACTTGAAAAATGAAATTTTTACATTTTTGTGTTTAAACCTTGTGTCATGCTAAGGAATAATGAAAGGCAATAACCCACTTCATTATGCAGAGATAATTTTTAAGACTAAGCAATTAGTTATAAATTAAATTAGGTAGTTAAGAAAACCTTATTCAGTATGGATTTACATGATTACTATTAAATTTTACTTATTTTTTAACAATATTGTTAAAAGTCCCTATTAAAATCCCAATCTAATAAAATTTCACACTTTAAATACATGCAACTTATGTCATGATTCTTAAACGATATTAGGATAATTATACATTAAAAGCTACAAAACATTTATGTTTTGTAGCAACAACACTTAACAAAATATTTATACATCTTTTTAATTTGAAGCCTTCCCAGACATTTTGGCTTAATTTATATCAGTTTTCTTCTCTTTAAACATCTTTCCTAACAATTAAAAATTTGTTTGAATACACAAACCAATGTTCTGACTAGTTTCTGCGTACATTATCTCCTAAGTTATCAACCTCTCCACAATGTACCTATGAGGGTTTAATTAATTTGGTAAAAGTTAAATAGTCCAAAACTCCCGACAGACATGAAGCAAGTTATCACTATGTCTCAAAAGTAACTACAAGTCAGACAAACGTTTAAATAAGCCTCTTATTTAAAAAGAACTTAAAGGCATGTTCTTATGCTAACCAATTCAATTGCAGTTTGTGGTCATGTAATTAAACAAGAACAATCAAATTTAAACAAAAAAATGTGGACTAGTAGTCAAAAACTATACAAATTAATTTAAATTTAAGCTGGCTCAGTAACTCTATCGTCATAACAAACTGAAATGCCAGCAGCAATAATGCAAAGACAAAAAGTTGCAAATTATCAGAGCTAGCAGGAACTAATGCAACGAGCAAGCGGAGATTAAAAACACATTCTGTCTGTCACCAAAAACCTCAGTTTAAAAAACTGCTTAAGCAATTTGCATTCTGGGGAGGAAATAGAAACGGAAAATTATAGTAAAGGCTGAAATTATAAACAACTGGGTAATTTACATAATAATACATGCATATATATTGAAGAATAATTTTCTTTCTCTGTATGTACTCAGTTTCTAAGCTGCTAATTTTACTTCTTTAGTAATATGAACATTCAGAAAAAATATGAAATATATATGATAAGGGCGGTTACAGAGCTGGTGTGGCAGAATTTTTAGAATTTAATGACACAACGAGCAACAAAATCTAGAAATGGCAAAACTTTTACAATTTAGAGCAAAGGCATTAAGAAGCAGAATTTAGAAAGGCACTAGTGTAGCAAAATTTAGGATCTGCAGAGATTAAGTTTAATATTCCATGTGATTGCACCAAGTGGGCAAATGCCTAGCGTCAGACCTGTGTATGATGCATTCAAAGACATATTAGATGAATCTTTTTTAAATTGCAGACAGTTTTCAATTTCTTTGTTAATAAAAAAAATTTCCTTTCTATAATGCCTGTCCATGTGATAAAAGATTAGAAGCATTTTTAATATTTTTCCTACTTGTGTCTAGTGAAAAAGTAGAGAAAATAAAGAGGGAAGATAAGCATGTTAAGAAAAAGATTTCTAGTATCAGAAGTAAAGCATTCAAGACATTATGTTTTCATTGTTCTTCCAGATGTTCTCCAAAAAGCAAGAAATTCATTGCAAACTTTCTGCAAAATACATCCATTACGTGTTAATACCACAGAGACATTTTTCATTTTCTCACAATTTTCTAAAATGTTCTGGAATGGTGGGTCTATAAATCTTGCTTTCAAATCCTTCTAAACTTTCCAAGTTGCAATGTCTAATGTCCGGAAGAAAAATTACGCCTACCAATTTTGTAACAGCAAACAGCCAGAAATATTTTAAAAAAAAATCAGATGGAAAAAGTGTGAAATTAATTTTATAGAGAAAACTGATGCATATTCTGAGAATTCTGAACACTCTGAGACAATTACATGAGAAAACTCTTATCACGAAAAAATTAAAAAGAAGATATTTTTTAATCAATATGTTATTTTTTAAATACAATTTCAATATATTACCTTAATTTTAATGATATTTATCAATGTTGGAATGTTTAAAAAAAAATCGTCGAAAAATTCTCAAACCATGGAAATTAAAATTTTCTATAGAAATTGATCTTAAAAATCGCCAAAATGTTGATAAGTCGCCAAATTTAGAGCTGTTCAATAAAAGAATTTCCCATCCCCAAATGCGAAAAGTTGTTTAAGAGCTCTTCATTATAAAAAGTGAAATAATTTCGAAATACTTGTTTCACTTCTTGCTCAGAAACTCTAGTATCCCACTATTTATATTAGAAATAGGAACAAATGATAACCCATTCAAATAACCATATTTATCAGTAAACCGTCAAAAATATACCTCCAAACTGCTAATTCACACTCAAAATGGCAGTCATGAAAACAGACAGAAATTTCACAGGATTAAAATTAAGGACCTTCTGCCGATTTTGGCTAAAATTAAGGACTTTTAAGGACTCTTAAGGACCGTACGAACCCTGCTATGTATGTAACAAACAGACAGAACATGCATTGAACAGTGTCACACACACACTTAAAAAAGTTCTTTGACGTTTAAAAAAAAAAGGTTTTTTTTTTTTTTTTTTTTAACTTTCAGTTTTTTTTATCTATTTATCTGAACGTCCTTATTATGTAGGTTCATATATTTTCACTGCTATAGAAAAATTACATAAATATTTATTTAAAAATTTTTTCTGACGGTTTACTTCGCAAAATAATGTAAAAGAATTTACATATAATGCGATTCTTAGATGCATTTGTTTCTAAATTCGCAAATTTCGTCATTTATTAGAAATGCGCACAGAAAAAGGTAAACTATTTTCCCTACTACCACAGTAAGTTTCAAAGTCCTAGACGTACAATGGTTTTACAGTACGACCACCACCCACAGATCAGTGGAAAGAGTAGATTTTTTTAAATTCATATATTATTTGTCTCTAGGATTATAATATTCAATTTCTAGACTTTTTAGTTAAAAAATTATAAAAAAAATATTGTGTACATCAAAGAGTTAAACAGCAGAGTTTACAATGATGCCCCAAAATCACAATCCACTAATTAAAGGATGCTTGCAAATTATCAAATGGAGGAGAAACATGCCAATGTAAAATTTATAAATTAGTTTAAATTTTGAATAAAACTATTATTGATTTTGATGGCAAACAGATAGTTTTTCTTCAAGAGCAAGAATAATTTGCAACATGACAACATAAACAATCACTGTAACCATGTCTTTTGACATAAATATGATCATTACCTCTCTCATTTTTTCTCCCTCTCAAAAAATAGATACTGTATTTCATTTAAATAAAACTGATAAGTTTTATTTAAAATCTATGGAAAATTAAGACTATTTTTTAAAATTTTAAATGTTGAACATTAGCCTAAATTATTACATTTTAAATTTTTTTTACTCCTTTAAAAAGAAAGAAAAAGACAGTGTGGCTTGGCAATTACTATATTTTTCTCTCTGGGGGGGGGGAAGGAAGAAAGAAAGATTTCAGATTTTAAATTACCTAAAAAGGAGAGTTTTTTTTAATGTTTTGTGTGTTACCATTATTTATTAAATAACTTGTTCTTTGCACTTAAACCACAAAATTCAGTTCAACAACAATGTCGCAAAATAATTTTAAAATGAGCATATCTTTAGAATTTCCAATACACAGTTATGCGCACTGGAGATAAAAAGGCCCCCCCCATAGAGTGTTGCCATTGCTCGCTTTTAAATAGTTGGTTTGTTAATAAAAAATTCATCAAAGCTTTTACAGAATATGAAATAACAAATTCCAAATTTAAGCTCCCATATTTGCAGTAAGATTACGCACTCAAAACTGGATGGCTCTAGGTACCGTTGTTTTATCACAATGCGAGAAAAATAGATACATTTATGCAGATTCTTCATTATTTAATTTCTTCAAATATAATACAAAGCAATGGTATTTGGTGGCAACGATTTGAAAAGTGATACAGCCTTTTAAAGTTTTCAACGCAAAATGAAAACATTAGTCCTACAGGGACAAACTCCTATGGACTAAAAAGAGCTTACATATCATGTAAGGAAAGAGGCATAAATATTGTTACATTCATTATGTGTGAATGCACTGCATACAATATTTTTAATATGGATTTCAATAAATCAGAACAATTTCTAAAGCTATTGCACATTGGATTTATAATTCAAGTTTCCACAATTATTAAGCATTCATTAGAAAATACTAAATTCCCTAACAAAGCACTTCAGAGAGCAAATCACATTAAGTTCAACATTGATTCAGAAATCTTATATAAAGAGAAAAAAACTCATGAAATATCTTACCATCTAGACATGCTGAATTCTTGTTGGATTTACTATCATAGTTGTTGAAAGTTCTTTTAGCTCCAGTGAGAGGTGTTCTGCTGAAAGAAGGAACTGTAGTGTGAATCTCATCTTCACTGCTCTCTTCTGAAGATTCGGAGCTTATTCTTTTTTTTCTCAAAAGTCTCTCACCTCTTCTCAAAGCATATCTGGCATTTTCTTCACCTAATACTAACCTTTTATCAGCTTCCAGAACCTGATCCTTATTCAAAAACCCCTTAATTAATTTTAACTTTTTTAAAGTACCACCTTGTTGGTCTAAATCTACATTAGTTCTTTTATTGTTTTCAACAGATTTATGTGGTGATTCATTTCCCATCTCAGATTTTTCTTCAGGTTCTGTTTCTGTCCCATCAAGACAAATAAGAGGAGGAGGAGATTTTATTGTGGGAGGACTGTTGCAAATAAATATGTCATCATCTTCCTCCTTCATTTTATCAGAATTTGGCACAAGGTGTTTGTCAAGATTATCTGGTTGTACAATAGGCGATTCTCCTTCTTTGATATTCTCCATTTTTTCATCAAAAGAAAGTGAAGATTTTTCTGCTTCAGCATCATTATTTACATTATCACACATATTATTACATTCTTCTATTTCCATAGCTTTTTCCTGAATGTCAAGTACATTAGAAGCTTTTTCTTTTTGAATGTTCTTACTTTCCAGTCTAGCAACAGTAGAATTTTCGATTAAAGAGTCAAGCTGAGAAATACTGCAGACTGAATTTTCAGAATTGATAGTTTGCACTGATTCACTAGAATTATCTCCAGTATTTTTAGAGGTTTCAAAAGACTTTTCAATGTCCTCAGAAACACTGTTCTTACACTGTTTTTCTTCAACAAAATCTGTATTCTTCACATTAGAGGTCTCATCTTCACTTGAAGAAGAAATATCATATATTTTTGTTTTACTAGTATTTGTTACGTTTTCATTGCTAGTATTGTCGTCTATCAACTTTGGATCAGTGCTTTTGATACTGTTCTCATCTGACACTTCTGCACTAACTACAATTTCTTCAACATTATTTTCTTCAATGTGTACATGACTATCCTTACAGATATTTGAGGTATGCACATCTACATTAGAATCTTCAATGTTTTCAGTTTCTTTTGTTTCTAACTCTTCAGTAACATCTGCATTTTCAATATCAGTATCTGACATTTCAGAGTTAGATTCAGCTTCACTTTCTGAAGAGGTACCTTCTGTAGCTTCTTCTTCAGATAAGCTCTCGTTCTCCATTTCCTCCTCTTCTTCAACAGACTCACTATCTGAAGTATCATCATCCTCCACAATTTCAGAAATACCCAATTTGGCTTTACAGGATTCAATTGTCTCATGCAATTTTAAGGAAAATGAATCATTTTTCTTGGCAGCATCCAATATTGCAATATCAGATATTTCAGGACTTTCTTCAGGAATGACAGTGGGTAAGTCAAGAGAAGGTAATGGTTTGGCCTTGCTAATCACACTTAACACACTTTTTGGTAGATCAGTGTTTCCATTCTTAGTTACTGGTTCTGTTTCATCTACTGGTTTTGATTCAACATTTGCAACTGGCTCTTGTTCATTTTCTGCTACTGGTTCCTGACCAGAAGTCTCTTTATCAGTATCACTATTATTTGAAACATAGCCTTTGATTCGTTCAAGGGCTAACTCCAGCTTTCTCAGTTTATCCGAATCTGACTGTGACTGAAATTTTGGTTTTGGTGAGACAATCTTATCGTCAGCTTTGCTAGCATCCTGTAATGCACAGTTTTCATCATTTATTTCCAATACACTTAAAGAAGCAGGCTGTTGTTTGTCTGTATTTGACTGATCAGATTCAGCAGTTGGTTCTTTCAGTACTGGTGAACTTGGATCAGACAGCTCCTCAGTTTGCAAAGGTTTTACTGAAGTGTCTTTACACTCCTCTGTATCCATCTGCAAAGGTTTTACTGAAATGTCTTTACACTCCTCTGTATCCATCTGCAAAGGTTTTATTGACTTGTCCATATATTCATCTGTTCCCAGCCTTGTTTCAGAAGTCTTCTCTCCCTCTTAAAAAAGAAGAATGTGTATAAATATATATCAAAAACGAGATAACTATAAACTAACATTTTCCATGAAGACTCTATACATCTATACAAACTATTAAACTAACATCTATACAAACTATTAAAAGTTAAAGGGTCCATCAATCATCAAAGAACGAAAGCTGTGGAGCGGGTAATGTTGAATGGCTGTGACATATATAATACAAAATAAGAGATAAGTTTCCCACAGCATGTTTTTTACATTTCTCCCTTGGTCAGATAGGTCTCATGTTTGACATAATTTATCTAATCAACTTGTTAATATATAGTTCAGCAGACATTTTTATGTCATTCAGCATGATTTTTTATATTTCCAAAATTTAAAATTAGAATCATGTCAAACAACTCTGAAATTCAAGTACCAACCAATTTTAATGATAATTTATTATGCTGACACTAAATAATCAAGACTAAATGGACATTTTCAAAATTATATAAACCTTTCTATGGAAATTCACAATAAAATTTCTTTTATAACATAATTTTCAAACAAACATCATACCAGAATCAGAATATCCAAAACATCCAGGTGATTTTACACTACTCTTCATTGGAGAATTAGAATCAAAATTAACATCAGATTTAATAACCTGGAAAAGATATCCCTTTTTATGAACTGCAAATTGTTTAATTTAAAGCAAGTTATTACATTAACCATCATGCTTAAAAATCACTTAAAAATATATATAAAAAAAAAGCAAATGAATGCATATAGTTTGCTATATAAGAGTGACAAAAAAATGTAAAGGAGAAATTTAAGTGCTTTTATATTCGCACTTATTTCCATCATAATATAAAACTGTTTTCATTTATCAAAGTTTATCAAAATGAGTTTTTTTCCTAAATAATATATATATATATTAAATTAAAATACTATTCAGTACAAACTTATTTGTCATTTTGCTCAAAACAGATGAGTGAAATCCAAAACCCAAAATATTTCACATACATATCAAGTTTTTTTTTGAAAGATGATTCCATTACTACAACAGCATACTGAAACAGCTATATTTTTGAAGCAAAGGAACTGAAAATATGGCAATTACATTTGGAATCCTTAAAAATTCCAAATGTAACTGCTCATGTACTTTCAGACTTCTAATAGTCTTAATCAATCACAATGATACAGTTATCAAATTAGGTATCTGTAATGTAATACTTTTATGCATTTACCTCAAAATACGATGAAACAATAAAGAACATTATAAAAATGTAATAAGTTATTTTACTCATTATTGCAGAGCAAATGAAATAAAGATATACAGGAAATATGCATCTAAACCAGTGGTATTCAATCTATAGCTCACAATGCCTTTTGGGGTTGGGAGGTGGATGAAAAAACTGTAAATACATTTAACCGAATACAAATATATCATAGACAAAAAGCTTTCAGAAAAACTGTTGCTTTTTAAAATGTGAAATTTTATTAAATTCTTAAGAGATTTTGTATGAGTATTTGTAAAACAAAGAGATAAGCTCTATCTCTTTGAAATCATTGTTCTAACATCAAAGCCTTCATAAAATAGATTTGTAGTGTTCATATTGCAAGCAGAATAACTTTGCAGCATTTCCTAATTTAGAGAGTTTTGTTATAGGGGAAAAAAAAAAAAAAAAAGAGTTGCTCAATCAGTTATTAATGACATAACAACTCACTTGATCTTAAATATCAATTTAATATTTATTTTGTAGAATATTTTTCTGACTGACAAACTCCATTCAGTACATATTACCTAAAAATTTTATTATTTAAAAAAAAAAAAAAAAAAAAAAAAAAAAAAAAAAAAAAAAAAACTGAGTTACTATCTGATGGAGAATTCAAATTTGTTTTCAAAGAGCTTAAATTTAACAATTTTTGGCTTAAAGTTCAAAATTCAGAGCTATTTGATGCAGCTTTGATGGTATTACTACCATTTGCCTCATCTTATATGTGTAAGATAGGTTTTCCCCATTTCTCTATCTAAAATCTAAATACCAAACAAATTAGCAGTAGAGCCACCTTTAACTATGACTAGCACAGGGTTTTAATAAGAAAGGCTAAATTTCAAAAACTACCATGAGAGAGAGTTTTTTTCCTTCTTGATTTGAATGCCAAAATGCCACTAGTAGTTTATACCTGCATTCATGCATTTTTAATGATTGCCTCAATGTCTTGGGCATACTTCAAGATGCACATATGTATCTTAGTGACACAAAAAATATTCTGGCCTTATTGGCCAGATCAGAGGGCCTTGATGGCCTTGTTGATCAGAGGGTTAAGACACCTTTACAACCAAGCAAAATAAAGCCAGAAATATCACTATTTATAAACAAAACAGGAACAGGTTTATAGGTCTCATTATATGTTTTCCATTTACAGTTATTTTAAACAGAATTTTTTTTTATTAAGTATTATACACCATGTTTTAATTTTCATTTTTAAATGATTCATACTTGTCAATTTTCTAACTAAATAATTGGTAACTACAGAGCTTATTTTCAAATTATTATACTTTCTATGATACTGATGTTTATTTTGTATGAAATTAAATATAAATGAACATCTTGATTTTTAATATTACCTAGTGCTAGTTTTTGAGCAATTAGATTACCGATTGTTTAAACTTTTGGGTCAGCATGTTACTTTGATGTTCCAAATAGGGTTACATTGCCAAAAAGTTGGAATATTGAATACCACTGTGATCTAAGCCATATAAGCCATAAGTATATATATATATATTCTTTTACAGCTTTAAACACCTGGATTTTTTAATATACTAAATATTGCTTGGTATTCAATTAAAAAAAGCATAAGAGAAAATATATTATGAAATTATTAATACCAATATAAAATAACATTATAACTTTAAATATAATCTACATCTTATGAACACGGACATGTATGGTGTATTACTTTTTGAAAGCAATATATTTTTTACAGTAAAGGCACACTTTATTTTATTACAATTGCAAATACTGCAATTCCAATACCATGACACATTTCATTTCCAGGATACACATTTTTCTTTTCTTTCTTCTTCCCCCTTTTTAAACAAATCAAATGCGTCTAGGAAACCTGCATGAAGCCAGTTAATCAGTCTCATTTCCCACGCACTGAGCTACATTTGCTTGCTTCATAGAACAATTCCAACACTATTTGAAACCTTTCTATAGTTTATACATTTAATTAAGTCAACTATTAATGGTATGGTGTGTTCAGTGATAATACTATATTTAATATTCAAATATTCGGATAGACTATAATTTAATTTTGGGGACTGTTAAAATTACCTATCAGATCACCTTTTTATTTATGAGCTGAATTATTTCTTTCTTTTGCTCCTCCAAAGAATACTGCAGAGTTTCCAACAAAAATTTTCATACAATATGTATAACAGGGTTCGTACACATTTCTGCACATGGAAATTAAGTACTTTTAAGGACCATTAATGAAAAAATTAAGGACCTATAAGCAAATAGCAAATTAATAAGTTCAATTAAAAATACTATCTATGCCTGAACTTCACTTTTGTAATACCATCCAAAAAAATAAAATAGATCCCTACGTAGGATGCATTATTATTAAATATAACTTAATTAACATAATTATTAGTAAGTTTGAGTATAAAATATACTTTATGAAATTTATCAAACAGCATTAAATATTTTACACTTATAATAGTTCAGCATATTTGAAAGAAGATAAGTGACATTTTATTTATGTTTTACTAATAGTTATGTTTAGTTATGTTTCATGTTGGATTTTTTTTTTTTTTTTTTTAATGTCTCATTACTTGCTCAAATCTAGAGGTTTGGTGAATAGCCAGGTAGATTTTATGTCAAGCATCATAGGTTAAAATGAGAAGTAAAATCATAATAAGAATGATTTATAACAAAAGACTGGCTGTTGTCACAGCTGTTCCTTGCCTAAAGACAGACCTGCAGACCAGAACAAAATTGAAAGGCCTAATGTGGGCACGGTTAGCTAGTTTTTAAAGTTAGTTGGTCTCTGTCTGTTGGAGTTAGTGTCGTAGCTCCATGTAGAGTTTCAAGGATTAAAACCCAGTTAATATACTTTAAGTGTCGTAGCTCCATGTAGAGTTTCAAGGATTAAAACCCAGTTAATATACTTTAAGGTGTCGTAGCTCCGTGTACAGTTCCAGGGAATGTAATCCAGTTAATATACTTCCAATAAGCCACTAAAGCACCAGAGGTGACACTAAGCTGCTTTGTATTATTTTAGGTCTCACTAGATACGAAAAATAAGTTTTACATGAATTTTTACATTTTTGTGTTTTACCTTGTACCACACTAAGAAATAATGAAAGGCAATAACTCACTTTAATAGGCACAGATAATTTTTAAGGGTAAGCAGTTAGTTATAAATTAAATTAGATAGTTAGATAACCTTAGGGAATAAAGGGAAGATAAGAATGTTATGAAAAAGATTCTACTATCAGAAGTAAAACATTCAAGTATTATGTTTTCGTTGTTCTTCCAGATGCTATCCAAAAAGTAAGAAATTCATTGCAAATGTTCTGTATAATACATCCATTACGTGTTAATACCATAGTGACATTTTTCATTTTGTCAAATTTTTCTAAAATCTTATGGAATTGTGGGTCTATAAATCTTGCCTTAAAATCTTTCTAAACTTTTCAAGTTGCAATGTCTAACGTCCCGAAGAAAAAATATCCCTACCAGTTTTGTAACAGCAAACAGCCAGAAATATTTTGAAAAAAAAATCAGACAAAAAAAGTGTGAAATTAATTCATTAATTTTATAGAAAAAACTGATGCATATTCTGAGAATTCAGAATACTCTGAGACAATTACATGAGAAAACTGTTATCATGAAAAAAAAATTAAAAGATATTTTTAAATTAATATGTTACTTTTTAAATATAATTTCAATACCATTATTTTAATGAACTTGATCAATGTTAGAATGTTTAAAAAAAATCGTCGAAAAATTCCCAGCTCTTGGAATTTAAAATTTTCTATAGAAACTGATCTTAAAAATCGCCAAACTTAGATCCGTTCAATAAAAGAATTCACATCCCCAAAAGCGAAAAATTGTTTAAGAGCTCTTCATTAGAAAAAGTGAAATAATTTCGAAATACTTGTTTCACTTTTTGCTCAGAAACTCGAGTATCCCACCACTTATATTAGAAATAGGAACAAATGATAACCCATTCAAATAACCATATTTATCAGTGAATCACCAAAAATATACCTCCAAACTGCTAATTCACACTCAAAATTGCAGTCGTAAAAACAGACAGAAATTTCACAGGATTAAAATTAAGGACCTTCTGCCGATTTTGGCCAAAATTAAGGACTTTTAAGGACCAAAAATCGATTCCAAGAAACTTAAGGACTCTTAAGGACCCTGTATAAATGTGATGTTTTATTTCATCCTCCAATATCTTGAAGCAGGTTTGCATTTTACCTTTATGTAACTCTTTTTATAAATGGGGGGGGGGGAATAGAAATATTTTATTAGAAAATGACAAGAACAAAGTACAAAATAAATACCTTATCTACATCAATTCCATGATACATAAAAAATTTGTTTTGTGGATCAAAACTAGTACGATATGGTGCATACTCAAAAGAGCCAAACTTCTGTATTAATGAATGCACATGAACATTCAATTCATGCAGTGCAGCCTCATAATTTCCCTTTTTCTTTGGTTTGCTTGTAGTTGGCATTTCTTTTGACAGATGATAGCACTGAGTTACAGGAACCCAAGCTCTAAAAGATTTAACAAATAGAAAATAAAATTTTATATCTATTAAACAAGTAAAAAAAAAAAAAAAAAAAAAAAAAAAAAAAAAAAAAAAAGGTCCTACACATAAAACAGCAAGCATATTACAGTTATGAATAATAATAATATTTAAATGTACATTATGATAATAAGTTACTATAATAACTTTCATTCATGCACAAATCATTTAAAAAATACACTAAAAAGATAGGTAAACAGCAGGAACATTTAAATTGTTCACATGGAAATTCTTTACACTATTATGTTGTCATAACATGTTAGTGTTAAATTTAGTTTTTAAAATAATGATAATAAATGGTAAAAGCAGGAAACTGTGAGGAATGAACGTTAGTTATGATCCTAATTTTTCAATACAATTGGGAGTCCCTAATTTTTCAATACAATTGGGAGAAAGTAGATATGAATATCTGAAACAATATCATTAGTATCAACATTCACTGAAAAATGCCACATAATAATATAAGCAAATTATCACACAGAAAAAAATGGCAAATGTTCAATTCTTTACTAATAAATAATAAAATGCTTATATATGGTAAAAGATAAATAAACCTGAAATATGCAAGGTACAAAAACTGGAATGAGAGAAAAGGGAAAAAACTATTTCATAGGTCAAATCCAGATCTTCTCCTTTACTACTTAAACTTGTACAAAAGTGATCTTTAGCAAGTGAATTAGGCCACTCAGCTCAGTTTCATTTCCTCACTTGCAAAAATAAAATTTTGGTAAAATATTGCTTAATTTCTTTATTTTATAATTCGGAAGCCAAAATCTTAAGAACATGTTCATAATAACTTCACAAATCAGTTCACACATCTTAAATTTAAAATTCAGCAATTTCATTTCTATTTAACTTTAATTACACTTTTATTAGCACCAACACCTATTCTAAATAATATTTGATACTAAGATTTAATTTTCAGCCCTGAACTATTGTGCCATTTTGCAAAACACTCCTTATTTTTAAAAGGCAATCACACTTCTATAGAGGAAAGTGAGGAAAAGTTCAATAATACAGAAGATACCTAAACAAGTTGCTTAAACGTATCAGATGTGAGGAGGGCAAATTATTTTCTGCAAAAATAACAAATATTACAGTGCCTCTCCGTTAGCCTTCGTTTTAACAGAAGTACATTCATTTACTATGTACAATTAATTTTTTTAATACTTTTAAAGAACTGATGAGTATCCCCTCTTTTTATAGTTTCTTGATGTTTTCGATAAAGTTCCAGTTTTCCCCGACCTATTTGTAGAATGCATATATTTTCACTGATGATTTTTCCTTTCCTTGACCTTTCTAGGATTTTCCACAAGAATATTAAGCTTTTTGTAATATTTCCCCCTTCTTATCAGCCCCTTATAATATTTCAGTTGAATTAATGGAAGAAGCATTGACTGAAGAGGAATCAATTATACTGGAAGTCCATTACTTAAAAGTTGGTGGTTTTTTAGTCAGCTCTAAAATTGAATTTTTTTATTAAAATTATATAAAATTTTATCATATTTCTTTAGAAATTAGATTTTATTTAGCATGAAAAACCATTCACAGTTCTATATAAAATTAGCCTGTTTTAAATGAACAAAGTTAGGGTTTTTCCTCCTTAACTTTATGTTTTATATTAATTTGTTTCTCTTATGCAAACGATAAGCAAAATCCTTGAAACTCGCATAAGAAACTCAGCTAGCAGACTAGAACAACTGATTTTAATTCTTATAAAAACTTAAATCATTAGAACTTAAACTCTGCAGGATAACAGTTTTAATATGCTTTTTGTCTTGTATTTCACATATTCTTTTTCCAGATTCTGTATTACACATTTTCTAAAAATGATTGCAATTCATTCGCAAACAACACAAAATTTTTACTAATTGAAGTTTATTACAATTATTAATCACAACAAATTACTTCAACATGAATATTATTCATAACTTCTAATTTTATATTAGACATAAAATATACAAAATTTTTAGATTAGAATTTATGCCATAAATAAAAAGCAATTTCATATGCCTACTGTACCTGTCATGAGCTCCAAAGAAGCGTGCATCAACATTTCCATCAACAATTCGAACTACCTAATGCATGAGATAAATGTTATTCTTCATATATTTACATAAAAATTAAAAGAAATTGTTACGATTAGAATATGCTGACGTAAAACAATGCAGAATAATAATTTTAAAGACAGGTTTTAAAGACAGGTATCAATAACAATTTTAATTGCTTTTAACAAAGAATGCAAAAGTTTCACACATATTCAGAGTTGGAACACACTGATCTGTTACAATCTTCAATGAGTTAAAAATGAACTCTAGGACATAGATCTCTTTCCCCCATAGGTCAACATATGAGGAAAAGGTGAAACGATTTGAGTTTCACAGGAAGGAGATGTTTAAGGAAGAGTTTCTCATTATGATTTCATTACATTAGCACCACATATATCAATGCACATATGCCATCTGAGCTGCAATTTGTTTAAAATCATCTTGTAGAATGATTTGTCCTGAATTTCACACAATTAAATGATTATGTCAATGGCATCACTGTCTGTGTTTAAGCAATGTTCTCAAAGTGAATTTTTCATAACAGATAAGAATTTAACAGGGTTAAGGTTTGGGAAATAAGGTGGCTGGGATAATGAGATGAAGCCACAGTTAACTAAAATAACTTATGCTATTGTGGCACGGTGAAGAGATGCATTATCTTGATAATAGATGATTTTTTTCTAAATTTTCCCCAGCCTCTTCTCCATGTTCTAGTTTATGTATCAGAGTGGCATGATGCAAAATTAACCTAAATCAGCCCTTCTTTCTGAAAACTGTTTCATTTTTGTCCTAGGGTAAAGTTTCTGGGACCAGTTGAGAAAACTTTTTGTGGATAGTTCTTGATGGATAATGCATCACATAATTTTGAAGATGTCTGCAAACATTCAGACAGTATGTTCATAATCATTTGATGATTGCCCATGATCATAGATCATATTCAGCAAATCAATGATTTCTTACATTTTTGTTGTCAATGGATGCTTCTTTCTTGGTGATTCAAATGGATAGGATTCCCAAGCTAAGCCTGTCATCTCACCGCTTCTAGAGAAGATATAGTGGATATCTTTCAAACTCTTCCTGAAAACCACAGGCTAGATTTCGAAACTCTATCCGGCATGTTAAAGCTGCAGTTTGGGGAGAAGTGTTTAAAAGATTATAGCAAGCTTCAATTAAAATCTGGTTAATAGGAAACCATGGAAACACTCAAAAGAACTTGCTGCAGAATACCCGACAGAAACAAGGGAAATCCTGTCCCTGCAGTATTTCATCAGTGGCATGCGGGATCCTGGAATACAGAAAGCTTTGCGAATGGCAAGATGTCAAGGATTTAAAAAGCCTCTAGAGTACAACATGAAATCTGAAGCAGCCCAGCAAGCAACTCATACAGACTGCCCCACAATCTGAGCAGCTCAAGTTCAGGAGACAGTGGATTAAGTGACAGCTCGTCTAGATGATTAACCAGACAAGTCAATGCCTTGAGATGGAATAGGAGTGACAAAAATTCAGCCCTAAAGTGCTGGAGCTTCAATGTTAAAGAAACTGCAGAACACCCCAGGGCATGGAAGTTAAGACTGCTCAAAGCCAGAAGTAGAGAAACTAATTAGTGTCCATCTCACGGGCCGGAGGATGCCATATAATCAGAAGCCCCATTTCAAAACACTTCATATTTCTGCAATCAGTAGTGGCACTCCTCATGGGATATACGAATGGAGTTCCTTGCAATATGACCATTGATACAAGAGCCAATGTTACCATCATCCTAAAAGATTTGGCTCAAGAATTGGAAGGTAAACTCCTCTGGTCGCCGCCCTGATTTACCCTCAATACTGTGTTCGGGGAAAGGATCAACACTGACAGAAAATTAAATGTTAAGATAAGTAACACCTACCACCACATGGCATACAGGCAGAGATTACAGATCTTTGCACACTCGGATTGGATTTTCCGAGGAAGTACAATTTTTTCTTGGAATTCAAAAATAACAAACTGCATTCAGCCTCTGAGAATATAGCCTTATTCGGAATTAATTATAAAGGAGTTAAATCTGTCCACAAAATCAAGACAATATCACATTACCAACAAGAACAGTTCCCGGATCTATAGACGAAAATAGATATTTCCGGCACGGTGTAATGGAATATCAATAGAACTGTAACACCCCGCAAGGAGTACTAGTAGCCACACAACTCATCGACTTGTCGGACACAATTATCTGATGAGAATTCCTCATGTCAGTGACAAGCCAAAATTCATTAGGAAAGGTGTGGTTGCAGCAGGTACTCTAGTGAACCAACGGTTAAATGAAACAGTAATATTTCAAAATCCACGTCTTCAGAAAGCAGTGCTGCTGAATGTATCATTCAAGAACATCAAGATGTTTTCTCTCACTCATCTTCTGATGTGCCTCGAACCAGTTTGACACAGCACGACACAACAACCAGTTTGACGATACCAGGGATCATCCACCAATCAAGCAACATCTAAGATATCTACTGATTGCTAAACAGGAAGAGGTAAGTCCATGGGCATCTCCCAGTGTCCTGGTCAAAAAGAAAGATGGGTTCAACTATATTTTGTGCTGATCATTGCTGTTTGAATGAAGTTATGAAGAAAGACAGCTATCCTCCTTCTAGAATTGACGACATTATGGACACTCTTTCTGGAAACAAGTGGTTTTTGACACTTTATTTAAAGAGTGGATGTTGGAAGGTAGAGCTACATCCGGAAGATCAAGAAAAGACGTCTTTTACTACCGAATCAGGACTTTGGCAGTTCAAGGTAATGCCATCTGGTCTATGTAAAGCAATGGCAACATTTGAACACCACATGGAGACCATGTTGAGAGGTCCCTACAAAGCCTGTCTGATATACCTGGATGACATCCAGGTATAAACGTCGGGAAGAGTTTTGAAGAACATTTAGAAAATCTTAGAAAAGTACTTCAGAAACTAAAAGAAGCCAAATGAAAGAAACTGAAGAAGTTCAGTCCTGCAAAATGTAAACTACTCAATCAGGAAACAACTTACCTTGGACATTAATCTCTGCGAAAGGTGTATGTACAGATCCAAAAAAAGTGTCAGCAGTTAAAGCCAGGTAACAGAGTGGATTATACCTGTATGTATGTATGGACACACGTGTGTGACTGTATATATATATATATGTTAGTGTGTGTGTATATATAAGTTTGATGCGGCCGACTGCAAAACTAGATGTCATAGCATTCTCGTATAAAAAATTTCAATGTTGTATGGTTAACTGTTTTTTGAGTTAGGCGAGCATATACATACATACTGTAATACGTGCAGGCATAATGAAAAAAGTCTGTTTTGAAGCCATTTTAAAATCTGTTTTTTGGGGGGAAGGGGGAGGAGTCTTCTATTCTGTCCATACATACAGATATCATGCAAAAACATTGTTCATATGTATTAAAGAGTAGTCAAAATGGATATTTTCCTTGAAATATGATATTCGAAATTTTTCACGAGTATAAAACATTCTAAATTATAAGTAAACTTTATTAATTTAACTCAGTTTTATCTTTAACTATTTGCAGTATATATTTTGCCATTAACTTAATTTACGATAGTATTTTCACACTCAATTTTCAACATATAATCTGGGTTTAATTAATATACAGATTAATAAATTATACACACATACAAGTGTATATATATTTAGTATATATTCACTTTTAATTTTTTTACCTTTACCTTTAGTTGTATAATACATAATTTTTACCATTGAAAAAGCGATTTTATCGAGGAATGCCTTCAATATTTTTGCAATTGTTTTATGCTTTTTACAAGAAAATTCGCCTTTTTAAAATTTTTTGCCCTTTTCTTACGCTCTACAGGCATGAAAGTGCAAGTTGGCAAAAAAAGCTGAACAACGTGCGGACACAAAATTACACAAAAACTAATTGCGCATGCGCGACCTCCAAAAAAACACATTTTAATAAAATATCAACCTTTTAATATAAAAAGTATTAAACATATACATATAATTAAATTAAAATAATACTTGTACTTACTATTTTGCTATTAATTTTATCTTGTAAAAAAAAAATCAATAAATCACCAAGAGATTGTAACGAATTAACCTTCTTTAAGATGCTCTTTATGTAACTTAACAGTTGATACATAAATACTGTACACAACATTACAACACACTAATATACACATTTATGTTATATATTATTGCCCATTTTCAGGCAATGACAAGTTTTAGAGATATATATATAATTGTTACTATAGCTCTCAATTATCTTCACTTTTAGCTCAATAAACAGTACTTTATATAACACCAGAAAAAGTAGTCATATGAGATAATATAGTTACAAAATAACATATAGTTAAAGGAGGAATACAAGAAATAGCTATTTTGTCTCAGTCTCAATCGATCCTGATTAAAAATTTTTTAGGGAAAATGCTTTTTCTTTTTTGCTACTTTTGCAGCCAACTTTTCTAATTTCCGTTTGTGAGCTTGTCTCAATTTCTTTTCAGCAGCTTTTATACAATCCATTGATACTTTTTTATTTTCTTCTTTATTTTTTTGCAATGTTTAATTTTTTTTTTTAAAGATTCTCGCTCCTCCTTTTCTATCTCTAGCTCTTCTTTGTACAGTTTATGAGCATTTCTTAAATTCATAAGTCCCACCTACTTTGCCTTGATGTGAAACAACGTATTTCGCGATCTCGGCTCAGGCAAACTCGAAAAGTTCGCAACAAGGGGTGCCTGCGTTTGATCGCTAACATGGCGTAATATTATACGATGGCATGATGTAAAGTTTTTTTACAAAGAAAAGAGGAAGAGAGAGAGCATGTCCTCCATTTACCCCCCCCCCACACACACATTTGCCGGTTGAGATTTCTCAACGGTTCTGCATCGATCTCAGAAACAGCCCAGGTGACGTTCAAAAAAGCGGAATTCCATGAAAACGCGGAAAACTTTCATGCTTGGCTCTAAGTGACCATGGGCTTAATAATTAAATTACTTACTTGAAGTTTCTTGTCTTCATTTTTGGCTTGTTTT